CCTCCCTCCCTCCCTTCCTTCCTTCCTTTCCAAAGGCCCTTGCTTTGTAGCCCTGGCTAGCCAAGAACTTGCTTTGTAAACCAGGCTGGCCACCAACTTGCAGCAATCCTCCTCCCTCAGCCTCCCAAGTACTGGGATTATAGATGTGCAACACCAGGTCCAGGACTTATTTGTTTGTCTGTTTATTTCTTGTAGTGATAGGGGTTGAATCCAAGCCTTTGCACATGCTAGACAAGCACCCTACCATTGAACTATATCCCCAGCATGTCTGAGCAATTTTTTAGCAGCAGGAAGTTGGGGGCAGGACTGGCATGTAGGAGTCTGTCATTCACCAAGCCATACCTCTAGCAATCTACAGAACACTTCAGCCTCAGCCGAGGCTGCAGACCTGGCAGGAGGCTGAGAAGAAGGATGGCACTGGGGGGGGGGGGGATTATTCCAGACCTGGTTACTGGCCCCTCCCCCTAGGTCCCTGCAGAGAAGGGAAGGGAGGGTGGAGGTAATGGACTTGGGGCCTGGGAGCTCAGCTGAGCTTAGGAGACCTGGGGCTCAGGAAAAACTTATCCCCCTCCTCCTGGCTGGGCAGACTGTACAGATGGGCTCCTATTTCCTCCTTTGGGCATGGAGAGCCAAGAATTGAGTATGGTTGAAAGAATATCTTCAGTTCCATCCTGTGTGTTCCTGACATCAATACCTGTGACCCTCATCCACCTGTCCCCACCTGCCCCCACCTGTGGACTCTAATCCAGTGCCTCCTCTGCAGCTGAAGCCCATTATCTCTGACCCTGAGTACCTCCTGGACCAGCACATCTTGATCAGCATTAAGTCCTCGGACAGTGATGAATCATATGGTAAGCATCCCAGGCCAGGGGCCTCATCTGCCCATTAGCCACAGCCTCTGAAATGAAAGAGGTGATGGCTCACCACCTGCCGCTCCCTGCCGTGCCCTCTGCTACCCCTTTCTCTGTCCCAGGACTGCCAAAGGGACTTTTCCTGGTGGGTTTCCATTCCTGCCCCTTGGGGCTTCTAGTACAACTGCCAGAAACCTTGATCCTCCCTCCTAGCCTTGCCAGGCAAGTTGTAGATATTCTATGACTTATATAACAAGACCTAAAGGAGTAGGTGTTGTTCCTCAGTCAGTAAATGGGTGAATTGAGGCCCAGAGAGGTCAAGTGACCTGTCGAAGTCACACAGATAGTCATCAGATGGACTATGACCTGAACCCAAGTCTGCCTGCACCAGTGTGCCTCTTCTGCATCCCCAGCCAGCTCCTCAGCCTGAGGTCCGGACCTGAAGCCCGCCCTGCTGGTAAATCAGCTTCCCAGTCTGGCTCCTTTTTGTTTCAATTTTTTTTTTTTCTTTATACAAAAGTTTTAGACTTGGAGACTGGTGAGATGACTCAGCAGTTAAGAGCACTGGCTGCTCTTGCAGAGGACCTGGGCTTGGTTCCCAACACCCACATGGCAGATAACAACCATCCAATACTCCAGTTCCAGGGGATCCAGTGCCCTCTTCTGGCCTCCTTGGGCATAGCACCCACGGTGCCCTTAGATCCGTGCAGGCAAAACACACGTACATTTAAAAAAAAGAAAACTTTAAAAAATTTTAGACTCATCTATGCTCTTACCTGCCTGTCTGTTTTTTTATTTCTTGCTCTGTTTCAAACCTTGGGAAGTGAATATTCCCTTCAGCAATCGGATTAGCATTTAACTCTGTTTCTCTGAAGGATTTTCAAAGATTTCATTTTTCTCTTCATGTTAATCCATAGAGAGTTCTTTCTGCTATGAGACTTGAGACATTTGCCCCAAATTGCTAAGGCATTGATCGAGAGGGTTTGTTAGCTAATACCTACCTGGACAATTGTTTCAAGGTACTGTCTTCCGGTGGAAGAGCTGATCTCCAGGCATGTGCCAAGGCTGCCCCATATTAAGGTCTTGACTTTGCTTGCTCTTATCACTCCTCTCCCCAGGTGAAGGGTGCATTGCCCTTCGGCTGGAGGCCACAGAGACTCAGCTGCCCATCTACACACCTCTCACTCACCACGGGGAGATGACTGGCCACTTCCAGGGGGAGATTAAGCTGCAGACTTCCCAGGGCAAGAAGAGGGAAAAACTCTACGGTAGGCCAACCCCCTCTGGGCTCTCCCAGGGGCTACTGTGTCAGAGACAGGCATGTGCGTTCTCTCAGCAAAGTCATTCAGTATTCTGTCCTGTACCCTCAAAACAGAACATGATTTGGAAAGACTTAGGCAGCTGGGTGTGATGGCACACACCTGTACTCCTGGTACTCAGGAGGCTGAGGCAGGAGGATCATAAGATCAAAGCTAGCCTGTGTCTCATGTCTCATTTATCTCTCACAACAGCCCTGTGAGCCGAGTGTGGTTATCCTTGTTTGGCAGATGGGGAAACTGAGGCACAGAGCGCCTAGGTGACTGGTTGAAGGTTACATACCTAGAAAGTGGCTAGGCAAAGGTGAAGGTACGGGTTCATCTAGGGCAGGAGCTGGAAGGCACAATGCTTGTCTGTGTGTTATGGGAACAGAGAGAACAGAGCTCGCTTCATGGGAAGTGGGGCTCCCCGTGCCAGGGGAGGCACTGACACTCCCTCTGTGGCTCCCCTGTGCCCTGTGGAGCTCTTTAGTGGGACAGTGGGTTGGAGAGATGGAGAGTCAGCACCTAGCAGCCAGGCATCCAATTCAGAAATAAAGCTGGGAGTCCTCGCTCTCCCTAAGCCCCATGAACAGATTGGCTCTGAGTACAAAGTACTCTTACAGAGTTACATAGTTGTGTTTGTTTTGTTCAGCTCTGATGAGAAATGTTTGCCTGTTTTGTCCCTGACTGAACCAATAAGTTGGAAATACTTCATGAAATGACAACTGGGCCATGACTATCCATTTTCCTTTTGGAGCTATGGCAGGCATTATTAATCAATCACTGAACCTGAGGATTTGGAAGCCTCAGACTCTTGCTTAAAACACCTGCCCTGACGGCTGTTTACTGTCCAGCTTTGGCTTGCAAATGGATAGCACTTTGCCATGTCTGACCTGTGTGGGGGCCGAGTCCTCACATGCTCCTTCCTGGGCCTTCTCTTCCAGACTTTGTGAAGACAGAGCGGGATGAGTCCAGTGGAATGAAGTGTATGAAGACCCTCACCAGCCATGACCCCATGAGGCAGTGGGAGCCTGCCGGCAGGTAGAGCACACTTTCTAAGACTCAGTGCGACTAGGAGGGCTTTACAGGCCAGAGTCCAGGAGAGGGCAACGCAGGGAACAGGAAAGCCGAGGCTGGAGGAACAGGATGCCGTAGCCCAGAGGACTCATTCTCCTGCCTTAGCTTCACACCTGAGCACAAATCCACCTCTCTGGGGAGGTCCTCATGACTGATGAAGCCTAGGCGATCCTACTGTGTTGGAAAGTTCAGTTCAGCTCAACCAGCATCGCACCTGTTGTATGTCGGGGAGAAACTAAGGCAAATATGATTCCTGGCCTAGAAACTCACTGCTAGCTGGTGGAAGGGTGCACGGTCCGGGCAGAAGGGGCTGCAGATGACTGAGTGATTCCAGGGCAGCACGTGCCTTCCCTGCATTCCCGGTCCCACGAGGCCAGGAACATCAGCATTCATGTGTCCCCATCTGAGACCATCTATCTTTGTTCCTATTGTGACAAATACTCTGACCAAAAGCAAGCTAGGAAAGAAAAGGTTTGTTTGGCTAACAGATCCAGGTTATACCCAAGTCCCCATTACTGTGATGATGTCAGAGCAAGAACTTAAAGCGTCACATCCACAGTCAAGAACAGAGAGAGAATAAATGCATGACTCCTTGCTTGCTTTCTTCATTCTTAAAGTTTCAGGCCCCAGCCTAGGAAATGGCGCCACCCACAGTGGGCTGGGTCTTCCTACATCAGTCAGTCAAGACAGGCCCCTACAAACATGCCCACAGGCCATCCTCATCTAGATAATTCCTCATTAAGGCTCTTTCCCAGATGATTCTAGGTTGTATCAAGTCCACGGTTAAAACTAACCAGCGTGGTGCTGGCTGTCCAGACATGGTGGCACACCCTTTAGTCCTGGCACTTGGGAGGCAGAGACTAGGCAGATCCCTGTGAATTCAAGCCCAGCCTGGTCTACATAGTGAGTTCCAGGCCAGCTGGGTCTATAGGGAGACCCTGTCTCAAAAAGACCAGAAAAAAAAAAAACAGAAAAGATGATTGAAAGAAATGTATCCAGGTTGCTCTTGATAGATCAGACATTCCAATCTGCATTATTAGAGGACAGTGGTCCTCAATACCAGGATTGCTTCCACCTCCTGATGTGATCTTGAGTCCCAGAATTAAACTGGCTAGGGTTCTGGTGTCTGCCGGCTAACCTGCTAAAGGCAGCTGCTCTGTTCCTCTTCTGCGTTCCCCTCTAGCCCTCACCCCTTGCACACGGCAACACTCTGCTCTAGCCCGCTCCCTAGTCCCCTCCAACTGCAAATGGTCACAGTGAGGACCCTGTGGCTTCCCTTGCAGCTTTCCGTCTCTGTCCCCTACAGACTGCAGCCAGCTCTGCAGTGTCATCATCTGCTTCAAGCTTCTTCTTTTCCCTTGGTGACTTGCCAGTAGCAGACATTAGTAGGTGGGCATGAGCTAAAGCTGGTGACCTGGCTGTGTGGGAAGAGGGTATGTGCAGAGGCTCCTTACAAGCTATATCCTCAGAATGTTGTTAGTCCTCCTGAGTCGGTACCTGACACAGTGACAGGGTGTGGCGTGTGACTGCAAGTTTGTTTCACCCGTGTCAGAACTGTGTCCTCCACAGTTTTCAAACCTCCCATTTGCACCTCTAAGCCTTGACCTCTGTGACCACATACACATCTTGTCATTCTGATGCCTTACACAGAATGTGAAACCAACGTATCCTAGGTGAACTTTGTCTAGAGTCTGCCTTGAAAATGCCCTCCTTACACTCTGACCCTTCCACAGCTCTGGGCCTGCAGGTGCTCATGCCCCTATCCCACTTGCTGACTGGCCTTCAGAGAGTCTTACAATAGGCCAAACCCTGCCCCGACGCCAGGGCCTTTGCTTCACCCTTGGCATTGTCCAAAGCCTGCTCCCTTTCTTCTCTCTTGTCTGCATGACATCCAGTCTCAGCTCAAAGACCACCTTGGGTGGGCCTTCTCTAGCCCCTCCCTGCCCCAGTGGGACCCAGCCCTCCCTCTTATCTCCCTCTACTGTGTTGCAAGTACACGAATGAACAAATGTGCCCACTGCCTCAGAAATGAAAGTACAGAGAGACTAAGGACCCCGGGGCACTGTCCTCAGGCCGGGACCAACCAAGATGGGAAGAGGTCTCAGTCATGCCTCCATCTCTTCCCACAGGGTCCCTGCTGCCTGTGGTGCCCCCAGTCTCACAGAGATCATCAACCCCAACTACATGGGCATGGGACCCTTCGGACAGCCCCTGCATGGGAAGCCATCCCTGTCCCCAGACCAGCAGCTCACAACCTGGAGCTATGACCAGCTACCCAAGGACTCCTCCCTGGGGCCTGGGAGAGGAGAGGGTCCACTGACCCCTCCCTCCCAGCCACCTCTGTCTCCAAAGAAGTTCTCGTCCTCCACAGCCAACCGAGGTCCCTGCCCCAGGGCCCAGGAGGCAAGGTAAGTGTCCTCTGAATTAAGTATTTTCCTGCTCACAATGCCCCCCAGATGACAGCCTCAAGAGGGCAGGGGTTGGGATCTGCTCTGACTACTCTAGCTTCTGCCCACATCCTAAATAATGGGTGCAACTTGATTTTAAAGGGGATTAGTGGAGGAGGGGGCGGTGCCAAGAAAAGAACCTCTTACAAAGTCTGTACTTACTGACAACATTTCTTTCATTTTAATATATTTTATCTATTATTATTTTATGTGTATGAGTGTATTGCCTACAGATATGTAAATGTATGTGTGTCATGCAATGCCTGTGGAGGTCAGAAGAGGGCATTGGATTCCCTGGAACTGGAGTTAAGGATGGTTCATAGCCACCATGTGGGTACTGGGAATCAAACCTGGGTCCTCTGCAAGAGGAGCCAGTGCTCCTAAGTGCTGAGCCATCTCTCCAGCCCCATGACAACGACATTTCTAAAACCAGCGACTCCTCGGGCATCTTCCACTCCCTGGAGGACCCTGTGGAACACAAATGGGGATTTCTGAGTAGAAATCTACCCCACCAAATTTCTCTCTTTTCTCAAAAATGAGCATCTCTGTTCTAATACACAACTTTCCAGACTCTCCTGTTGACAGTTAGAAAGGGCGTAGCATGAGGATCAGCAAGATGGCTCAGCAGGTGACGGTGCTGCTGCCAAGCCCCACAACCTGGGTCAATCCCCAGAACCCATGTGCTGGAAGAAGAGAACTGTCTTCCACAAGCTGCACTCTGACCTCCACACACACACATCACACACACACACATCACGCACACATGGTGTATACACATATACACTCATGTATAAATTTGTAAATGTAGTTTTTTTTTTTTAAGTATCAAGCTAGGATGGGACTGGAGAGATGGTTCAGTGGTTAAGATCACTGGCTGCTATTGCAGAGGACCTGGGTTTGAATCCCAGTACCCACATGGTGGCTAACAACTATCCATAACTCCAGTTCCAGAGTTCCAGCACCCTCTTCTGTCCTCTACAGGCATTGCACAACACAGGTGTACTTACATACATACAGGCATAAAAGTCATACACATAAAATAAAAGTAATTAAATTTTAAAAATTGGGGGAAAAAAGGAACAAGCTAGGTTCCTCTCCCAAAGCCTCCACGGCTTCCTCTCTTTGGCCCTTGGAGGAAGATATCCTCCCTGAGACCCAGCACCTCTGAACAGTTTTGCTCATAGTTCCCTCAGCCAAGCAGAGCAATAAGCTCCCAAGGACCCACATTTCATTTCTTCCACCATGGCATCCTTTCTGCAGCAAGCAGAACCCAGAACACTGTCCTGGGAGATCACGATCGTGCCAGTAGCTAGAAGAAGTGAGCTCCTGTTCCTCACTTCATAACTTGCTCAGCAGCAGGTCACCTCAAGTGAGACCTGCGAGCAATTAGGAAACAGGCAAGAGAAGACAGCGCTACTTTCCCTGGCGTTACGGCCTGGGACCTGCCCATGCTGCAAATGGGCTGTGTGCTTGTCATTAGCGTTTGTTTCCCAGTACTCACATCTGTCCCTCTGGTTAGACACACACACACACGCACACACACGCTGTTTGTTCCTTCCTACCACGAGCCCTGAAGTGAGGGAAGAGCTTGGGGCAGCTGGCCTCAGAGTCAAGAAGCAGAGAGAGATGAACACTGGTGCTCAGCCAGTTCTCCTCTTTATTCATCCAGGACCCCAGCCCATGGGATGATGCTGCCCACTATGGGCAAGTCTTCCCACTTCAGTTAACCCAATAAACACAGTCCCCCATTGGCATGCCCAGAGGCCTGTCTCCCAGGTGATTCTAGATCCCATCAAGTTGACCACTGAGATTAACTGTCGTAGGAACTGTACTTCCTAGAGTCCTCCCAAGAGAACGCTTTAAGACTCTGGGGAGAATGCCATGACTATAGTCCCTGAGCCCAGGGCTTGTTCTGTGGTGCATGGCAGCTTCGCTGTGGCTTCCTACATGTTTGCTGCATGGAGCACAGATGGTCACTGATCCATTCTTCCATTCTCCAGAGCATCCATGCAAGTGAGGGGCCAGAACAGAATTGCTGAACACAGCAGAGAAGAGTGTGGGGGTCCTTGGGGATGCCAGGAGAGGGGGAGGCAGCATTGTCTGCTGAAAACAGGGTTGATATTGGGGTGTCATGTAAGTTCACATTTCCCTCTCCTCAAAACCTCCAGGGATGTCTCCCTTGCTTCCAGATGCATTTGTATGAACAGCTTTGGGTTTTGGTTGGTTGGTTGGTGTTTGGTTTTTAGTGGGAAAGATCTCAGCCCAGAGCTGAGGTTGTCTCTGAGGATATGGAGAAATGCAGAGTAGCATCACACCTTCTCCTCTTGTTATTTATTAATTTAAAAAATTATCAAGGGGAAGATCATGTACAATTATCCATTTCAAAATGAATAATTTCATGACATTCGGTATAGTCCCATTATGCAACCGCCATTTGTATCTAGTTCTAGATTTTTATTATCCCAAAATGAAAGCCCAGAAGCATGAAGCTTCCACTTCCCAGATCCTGACTTCTGCACACATTTCTTCCCACTCCCCTCCCTCTCCCCAGACCTGGTGACCTGGGGAAGAACCCAGCAGAAGCTTTGCTTCAGGAGGACCTCCAGCTGACGAAGCCAGAGATGTTTGAGAACCCACTGTATGGGTCTGTGAGTTCCTTCCCTAAGCTGGTTCCTAGGAAAGAGCAGGAGTCCCCCAAGATGCTGCGGAAGGAGCCCCCACCCTGCCCAGACCTAGGAATCTCATCACCCAGTGTCCTGCTCCCCAAAGCCCCGGAAGCCGAAAGCAGCAAGGGGACGGGCAAGCAGGCCCCCATGCCTGTAATTGGCCCCACACCCCGGGTCCGCTCCTTCACCTGCTCCTCCCCTGCTGAGGGCAGGACGACCAGTGGGGACAAGAGTCAAGGGAAGCCCAAGACCTCGGCCAGTGCCCAAGCCCCAGTGCCAGCCAAGAGGCCCATCAAGCCTTCCAGGTCAGAAATGAGCCAGCAGACGACACCCACACCAGCACCACGACCACCCCTGCCAGTCAAGAGCCCAGCGGTCCTACAGCTGCAGCACTCCAAAGGCCGAGACTACCGGGATAACACAGAGCTCCCCCACCACAGCAAGCACCGTCCGGAGGAAAGCCTGCTCAGCAGGACAGCCATGCAGGTGTGCTGGGGCACGTGTGTGTGCGTGTGTGTATATGTGCATGTGACTGGCCCGGGAGAGGCCTGTGCTGTGACAAAAGGCTACACCTGGCCTCTGTCCCCTGTGTCCGTTACTGGTCCTATACTTCCCCTGCAGTGATTCGTGAAAGGGACGGAGGAAGTGCTATGGATAAATCCCTATCCCTGTAAAGTAAGAGAGTAGATCTAGGTCATTTATATTTTACTCTTTTTTAATTATTTATGGATATGAGTGTATTGCCTACATGTGTATAAGTGCACCCATTTTGTGCAATACTCACGGAGGTCAGAAGAGGGTGATCCCCTGGAACTGGAGTTATAAACAGTTGTTAGCGGCCATGTGGGTGCTGGGAACCAAACCCATTTCCTCTGTTAGAGTAGTCTGTACTCTTAACTACTGAGCCATCTCTCCAGTCCATTTATATTTTATTTTATTCTTATAATCCTTAGTTTTAATATATTCACTTTTTAAAAATGCTCCTAGTATTTTAGAGACTTCAGATAGAATATCCTTTCCTATTCTTTGGTAAATCTGTCAGTGGTTAAGAACAGTTTAGACCTGGGCATGGTGGTACACCCTACACTCCAAGCACTTTGGAGGGCTAAGGGAGGTTTTCAAGACCAGCCTGGGATGTGTGGTAAGACACTGTCTTAAAAACAACAGCAACAGTCTGGGAGTTATTGTAGCTCAGTGGCGGAATATACACTAAAGCCCACAAGAAGCCCTCAGTTGAATCCCCAACACCAAAAAGAAAAGAACAGACTCTCGAACCAGATTGTTGGTGGTTCAGTTACTTTATTTTACTGCAATGCTGGGGATAAAACCCAGGACCTTGGGCACAATAGGCAAATGGTATACAGAGCTACGCTCCTAATTCCCTGTCAGATTTAAACCCCAGATCTCAGCTTCCCAGCTCTGTGCCCTGAGCCTCAATTTATCTGTGAAAAGGGGTTATGAGGGCTGGGCCTGGTGTCACATGCCTTTAATCCCAGCACTCAGGAGGCAGAAACAGGCAGATCTTTGTGAGATCAAGGCCAGCCTGGTCTATATAGTGAATTCCAGGCCTACTGGGGCTACAGGGATGACCCTGTCTCAAAAAGACAAAAAAGGTGCAGGGCTGTGAATCTACCATACAGATTTATGGGGAGAATTAAATTTAAATTATGTCATATACTGTCACTGTATGTCATATTTACCTTTGTAACTCAGTACTCAAAATTTCATGTATTATATATAATATTTGTATATCCGTTTGGTATATATTGTATTCCATATATATATATATATATATATATATATATATATGGATTAGCATAGAAAGTATGTAGGGTAGACTGGTGCTTTTCATGCAGAGGTGACTAACCTCATACCCAGCACTTCACGTCAAATGTGGCCTGGAGCTAATGAGGCCCTGAAAGTCCTTCTGTTTTCATCCTACAGTGAATCCCTTGCGAGCGGCCCATGGTGGGCTCCCAGAGGAACATCATGAAGCCGATCTAAGCCTCCCAGGACCTCCTGCTGGCTCCTCTTACCTAGCTTCAGCACAAGGCTGTGTCTTTTTTTAGGAAAGGGCCTCACTTTTGTGTGGCCCAAGAAGTGTGCTGGGTGTAACACTGGGCAGCAGATGCCGAGGCTGGATGGAGAACACGCACCAGATGGACAACAGACAGCCGGGCCTCTCGGAACTTCGACCTCAGGGTCTTGTTCCAGTTCACCATTGTGAAGAAAGGAACTGAGGTGCCTGTCTGAGGGTGAAGATATAAATAATAATAATAATAATATAATAATAATAATAATAGCCGTGTGCCACGTGCTGTGCTAAGTGCTTTATGAACATTTGTCAGGATGACCTCCAGACCTAAGGTTCCAGCCATCCCGAACCATGTGCCCAGACCCACCAGTCCCAAATCGTATGCCCTGAGAAGTTTAAAACAAAGCATTAAGAAGGCCAGGAACCCCTCCTGAGCAAGACAGGCTTAGCTGCAGAACTTGAAGAGTCTGCATGGCTTATTTAGGGTACATGGAGCCTGGTGCTGTCCAGCAAGCTGCTTTAGCTAAGGCTAGGTTTCTGGTAAGCTCTTATGGAGAGCTAGATCTGCCTGGTCTCTCTCTCTCTCTCTCTCTCTCTCTCTCTCTCTCTCTCTCTTGAAAACATGCATATGATGACAAAGTATAAGTATGATAAATCCTGTCATAGTGTTGAAATATATAAACCATTTTATATTAATGATATTAGCACACTGTGAACATTTTTTGAAAATTAAACAACCCCTTGAGTTATCAGGAACCAGAAATCAGCTCCAATTCTCCTGTAAAGAGATGTGGCCTCAACCCAGGCTAGCCATGTCAGACCCCTGATGAATACAGACCATGCTTCCCCTATAGCACTAGAGATTGACGGCTGCTTCTAAGCTCTGGGTTCAGCTAAGTGCTCCCAGAACGTCTGCTGTGCTAAGAAAGAGTCTCCACTATTGTTCCCGATGGCTGAGCTCTTCAGCCTGCTGCCAGGGAGGGTGAGCCTTGGTCCCAGGCTCTCAAAATAGCATGGCCTGTTCCCAAGTGCCGTGGCTTTCAGCCCTGCATCCTTGGTTAGCAGGAGAAAAGGATGGTGATGTCTTTTCTTGTGTTGCTTTTGGATATATTAGAATTGATGTAGGAAACCGGATTCTGAGTATGGTGGAGAGCAGAAGAGCAGGTGCACACCCTGTGTGCCCCAGTTTGTGTGACCAATAAATTGTTCCTTTCCCACTTGATTCCTGTGTGGCATTTCCCCATATATAGTTCTTTCCTGGCTATAGGTACTGTAGAGACAAGTCGGGGGTAGGAGGAGGTGGTTGAGGGTTCATGGCGGTAACAGGAAAACAGTATCCTAACTGGATAGAACTTTGGATCCAGTGTCCCGTGGAAACTATTTGAAGTTGGTCATGGACAGGGACAAAGGTATTTGTCGCTCCTTCCATACATGAATCTGCTTAGGACTCCAAATACCCAGAAGCCACCCAACTTCAACAAGTATCCTCTGACACCTGCTGTCCTACAGCCTGCAAGCTCCCCCTAGCTTTTACAAGTGTCGATTGTTCCAGGGACAGTAGACACACACAAAGCCCCTGGGGCACTGGCTACTGCTTGGTACCACTAGCACAGTGCCATGGCCCTGGCCTGCCCTGCCACCTCGAGCTGTTCAGCATCTGTCCTGCTCACAGCCCCAAGCCTTGCTTCTAGACAGAACTCCAGGGAGTGGGAGTGACATCCTTGACAACCACCAAGTACAGCATTCACTGCCTCCCACGATGGCCCCTGTGGACTGAGAGCGCAACGGACCTCAGCTCCTCACCTCTACTCAGGTGGGCACCTCTCCTGCAGATTCACTTCCTGGTCCCCATACAGAACTTCACCCCATCTCTAGCCCCCGACAATCTGACCCGATAGGCTAGGGGCCAGGGTAAAGAGACAGCTAGAGATTCCTTGATGTTCTAGAGCTCAGAGCAAAGGGAGAGGAAGCACAGGTATTTAGCATGCAGCTTAAATACCTTGTTTCTTATTACCTGTGCTTACCACCCCCTCCTCTGAGCGCTAGTCACCTGAACAGACTACTACGCCCTCTTCCCTCTTCCCTCTTCCCTCTTCCCTCTTCCCTCTTCCCTCTTCCCTCTTCCCTCTTCCCTCTTCCCTCTTCCCTCTTCCCTCTTCCCTCTTCCTCCACAGTCCAACACAGCTGTCTCCAGCTTTGCATGTGGATGAGCAACTGGGGCCCCCATGCCCACAATTGGGAAATACTACAAGTGAAGTTTCATCCCTGTGTTTCTAACCCCGTAGTCCAGCACCCACCCCTGAGCTCCCTGACCACCTTCTCTGGGCTCTGGACTACCACCATCCCCCATCCCCTGGGACCCATACTAGACAACTGTTTCTCTTCCTGACAATTCTAGCCCTCTCCAACACTCAGGTCTACGGCAGAGGAAGGGGGAGCCAGGTATTGCCCCTCCTGGTTACCTTCATTTTTTTCACCAAGCTTCATAACTAAAAAGGCAGGTGGGTTAACAAGCTTCCCTCACAAACTGTTACAGCCCTAGAATGACCCATCACCCCCAAAGTTGTAAAATGATAGTCACTCTTTTGGGAAGCAAATTTGCCCTTCTTTGGCTGTATGAAACTGGTCACAGCCCAGATTTGCTGTTTCCATAACAATGGTAGCTGGCATAGATATGTGAGCATCTCTCCAAGCCACTGGTCCAGAGGGAGCTGCAGCCCTGCCAGGCCACCTGCGGCCAGGATGGGCAGCCACTTTGCCCCTCCTCCAGCCTTTCCGTTACCTTACCATGGCATTTCTGGCCGCCCGATAGGAGGGAAATGAGTGGGTCACTGAGAAAATCACCCACAGCTACCTTCCCTAACCCCAGCCTGCCCGGTCTGTCTTTGTTTGTCCTTAAAATAGCTCTTTTCTCTCTGCAAACTAATTTCCATGGAGACCCAACCATGGAAAGACCCAGAAGCTTTCTGTGAGGAAGCTAGCTCACTCCCAGCCTTCACTCCAACAGAGAGACCCTTTATAATGCAAATGTCTGGTCTCACCCCCACATATACCCACCAAATCTGTACAGAGACGCACAGGGGCACATGGAATCCAGGTAGACTGTGGTTACGTGCTATTTGACGGCTTCTCCAAGCTCATCACTCACTCCCCTCTCGGCTCACAGATGACCCAACCTCTGATCCTGCTTGTGAGTGATCTCAGACCTGGTGTTCATGGTTCACATTCTCCTAGATATGCTAGGCCTTAGGACACCACGGGGACAAGGCATGGCTATGGCTCTGGGACAGACAGAATGGAGCTTAAATACCTTGATTTTATTGCCTGAAAAATGGTCTTGGGCAATACAAGCCTGATAACCTGAATTCAAGCCCTGGAACCCAGAACCTGTGTAAAAAGCCAGATGCAGGGGTGTACATCTGTAATCCCAGCATCTCTCCTTTGAGATGGAAGGAGAAAGGAGACTCACCCAGAAGTTCAGAGGTCAGATAGCCTGGACTACGCAGCTCAGCAGCAGAAACAAGAGTGACCCTGCCTCAACAAGGTGGAAGGTGAGACCCAACTCCTGAAAGTTGTCCTCTGACTTCCACATACACGCTGTGGCACAAACATGCCTATACTCCCATACATACACATGAGCATGTGCATGCACGCAAAATAATCATTAAAATGACAAGGAGGCTGATTTGGGGCCAGGACATTTCTCATTAGTTTGGGTTCAGACAGTGAGGCAGATTCAAGTGCAAGGAGGCATTGGAGGTAAAGCAGGAACCCTAGGAGAGGGTGGGGACCTGAGATAAGGAAGAGACAAACGCCCTCCTGGTCAGTGACTGCTGGGCCAGCTGGGCTTGATAATGGACAGCAGCATGAGGCACATGCCTATTACCGCATTCAAAGAATCACGTTAAGAGCTGCCTCAGGGAGCTCATTAGTCCTCAGCTCCTGGCCTAAGCTGAAAGCCAGCTTTCAAGGCTGGGCAAGAGCCTTCTGGAATAAAGGGGTGTGTCTCCTCCGCCCACCAACAGCACAGAGGTCTGGTGCCAGGCCAGCCCACAGCCACCGGCTCCTCTTGTTTCTTAGTGCCTGTGGCCTGTCATTCCTGGGTGCTCAAGCAGACGTCTCTAGAAGGGGCTCTCCCTTAGGGTGCATTTCTCACTTCAGAAGACCCCCAAAGAAGACCCAGGGAAGAACACTCCAGACAGAATGAGGTATGCAGACCCGAAGGTGAGAAAGAGCTCAGCCTGTTCGAAAAACTAAAAAGAACTAGTGTCTATGACAGTGAGCGAGATGGAGCTGGAGCAGGAGGGAATCAGGAGGTGGGGCTGGGGCTGGGGGTCCCAGATAGCTAGATTCTCAGAGAGCCACAGGGTCCGTGTGGTGTGTGGCTATGGGAGAGGTTCACTGCTCAGAGTGGAGCTGCACCGGGATGTTTGTACTGAAAGAGGAAAGAAAGAGGCACTTGTGACAGCATTGTGGGAGGTGGTGACCAAAGAGGGGAGACCACAGGCCGAGGCAATGAAGAGCCTAGATTAGCATCTTCACCCTGTCCCTGGCACCTAACCCAGGACAAGAACCTGAGGCCTCTCAGGTCAGGCTTCATGGTCAGGTCAGACATAGGGGACAAAACGGCCAGACTTTATGGGGTCCCATACTCAAGGGGTTGTCAGATTTAGCAAGTGAAAATAGATGATGCCCAATTAGATTTGAATTTCAGCTAAACAACAAACAAATTTTAGTACAAGTTTATTCCCCAAACTGTCTGAAATTGGAATTTTGCTAACAGTTCCTATGTTTTTTCTGGTAAACCTTGCCCTGCTCCATCTACCTGAGGACCCACCTCCTAGAGTTGGGGGACCACCACGCTTCCCGCAGTGAGGTGTTGCCACCTTGAATCTCTGTAAGATACAGGGTCAAAGCAGGCCAAGAGCAGAGACAGTGGCCACACCCACCACACCCAAGCTCAGATTCTACTTCACAAAGAACCACAGGGAAGGTGAGCACACTGTTTCGGTTTGGGGTGTTTTACTGAGGCAGGGTCTCCCTGTAGCCCCAACTGGCCTGATTGCACAGAGATCCAAGTCTCTGCCTCCCAAGTGCTGAGATTAAAGGGGTCCACCACCACGTTCAGCTAGAGAGAACTATTTTTTAAGTTAGAATTTATAGATTAGAGCTTAAAGCAGTAAAATATCTTTTCAAAGTTTAATTTAGGCCAGACATGTTGACACATGCCTCTAATCTTAGCACTCAGGAGACAGAAGCAAGTGGATCTTTGTGAGATTGAGGCCAGCCTGGTCTACATAGTGAATTCCAGGCCAGTCAGATCTGCATAGTGAGACCCTGTCTCAAAAATAAATAAAAATGTCAATATACTTCAGAGGAGCATACTAAAATTCGGAATTTCATAATATCCAGGATAAAAAAATTATACAAAAAGCCTCACCCATACAGGGGGATGGAGAGATGACTTAACGGTTAAGAGCAATGGCTGTTCTTGCAGAGGACCTGGGTTCAACTCCCAGCACCTACATGGCAGCTAACAACCATCCATAACTCCAGTTCCAGGGGATCCGACGCCCTCTTCTAATCTCTGTGGGCATTGCACAGGAC